TTCCCCTTGAAAAGGAAGATGTCAGCGTGTAGGAGAGTTGACAAAGGGCCCTAGGCCGAAACGTTCCTTTTAAAAGCAGCGCTTCTGTCAAATGCTGCTAATATTAATTTAGATATCTGGTTGATGATATACTTAGCAGAGCAGATGACAGAACTTTATATTTTTATGTGACTTTCAAGACGTTCTGTAAAGCCCAGGTCCTTGAGGGCTCTGTGTCGCTGTGGCCTTGTGCAGGGCCTGCTTATCGTAGACTTTCACTAAATGTTTGCAGAAAAATAAACATGACTCATGAGATGCTGGGCTCTTCAGGAAGTGCCAACCGATCGTGAAATGCATTGGCTCTGGGAGGAGGGAAGGAGAGAAAAGTATGTATTAGGAGCCACCTTATGATTAATTTGATTATAAACCCTTTCATTTTGCAGCAGACCTTGGAATGAATGAGATGACCTTTCCAGAGAGAATAAGGAGGAAATAATAACTCATCTTGTGAACAGCAGTTCCTCTTTCTGTTCTTTAGAATGTGCCATAATTTCTTTGAGTTTTAAAAATTCTTGATAGGTCCAAATGCATTCCGTCTGATAACACTGGAAAATTTGGTTTTGAGATTGCTGAGGGCCAGTTTATATCTTTGTTGCTACTTCTGTGGAACTAGCTTTGAACTAGTTTAGATTTGAACTTTTACACTGAAACAAGCTATCGATTGCCAGAAAGGGTTAAGTCTTGTCCTTTAATGCCCTTTAAATAAGTTTTGCTAATTTTCAGACAGGCAAACCTATCACACTAGAGTTGCAAAAGATCCTAGTGTTTGTTTTATAGATGAGCTAATACTGTATCGGGCAAGATAAACCGACATCATATCGGGCACAACTAATTTTGCTGATAGGGGGCTACAGTGTATAAGAAACACTGTACTGTATTATGTATCATCTTTAGAGGTGGTATGATTTTTTTTTCCATGAAAGATTAGCTTTTAGTGGTACTCTTAAAAATTGAACTTATCAAAATCGGAAACTGGAGAATCATAGTTTATTTTATGTATATATTCTTTCTGATTATAACAGTAATATATATTCATTGTAAAAAAAATTTAAATCAGATACTATATGTAAAAAGAAATTACCTGTTCTTTCACCACCCTGAGTTAGCCACTATTACCATATTCTATGTATTTCATTTTACGTAAGAATCAGATCATATTGTAAATAGTTATTTATCTTTATTAATTTTTATTGTGTGTATTTTCTTTGTCAATCTTCAAAAGCATGATTTTTCATAGTTGTAATTTCACTACATGAATTTATCATAACTTATTTAACCATTCCTATTTGTTGGACTAGTTTCTTCTTATTGTTAATTACTGTTAAATAATGAACGTTGTTTAAAAATGATTTTCTTGCTACAATAATTTTCTTGGGTGTAGAGAGAAGTCATTCTGTCCCTTGATAAAGTAGTATAATAAATCTACCTACAACTTTGGCCCCTTTCATAGCCATTTGACTGATCGCCAGATAAATTTCTTAAAGATATATATTTTTTGAATTGTCTAAACCACATAGAAAATGATCCGCTTGGTGAAGAAGTGGGTCTGACAACAAGAAAAGCGAACTGCAAGGTAGGTTGGTGCCCCAGGCTAGTCCCTGGGAGAGAATTTCAGACACCGAGAGAGCAAAATAGAGAAAGAGCTGAAACAGACAAAACAGAGAAGTACGGAAGAGAAATGACATCTCGAAACCATTCAAAATCACAGTGAGAGCATCATGCTAACTCTGAGTCCCCACAGGCCTTAGGGGAGGGCGGTGGCTCATCAGTCATCAGAGGGCGTCACTCACATCAGTCCCCGGATGCGGATGCGGAGGCGGGGCCCGGGCTGCAAAGGTGAAACTTTCTGGTCCAGCGGGGCGAAGCGCGCTCATTTCTTAACCCTCCCACTGATGCTCTACTCCCCGGAATCCTCGGCTTTTCACCAGTTCACATACCTACTTTTTAAGATGTAGAGATCATTCCCCTGGAACTCCTGCAGCTCTTAGTACCTTGTGAGGCCACCTCTACAGTAGAGTTGAGCGGTCAGCTGTGGCCACCCGAGGCTCTTGGCTACTTTCTGACACATTTGCCTTTGCCCAACACACACAGACCCTGCCTCCGACCCAGGAGGGTCGCTCACACTAATGCCCAGGTCCTTTTGCATTGGTTTAGAAGGACTGGTTTTCAGATTCCTTAAGGACATTTTTCTTTTCTTTTTTCTTTCTTTCTTTTTTTTTTTGTCTTCCACAGACATTATTAGAATCTACTAATGTTTTGGAAACTTTCCTTTATATTATTTATAACAGTGCTTGCCAACAGAGATATAATGCACGCCACGTAGTTTAAATTTTCTAGTAGTCACATTAAAAAAACTAAAAATCACAGAAAAAATAAAGCTTAATACTATATTGTATTTTTCCCAACCTATCTAATATATTATAATTTCAACATGCAATCAATATAAAAATGATTAAAATTTTTACGTACTTTTCTTGTACTGAGTCTTAGGAATCCAGTGTGTGTTTTACACACACAGTGTGTCTTGTGCTGAGTTTGGACTAGCTACACTGCAAGCTCTCAACAGCCACTTATGCCTAATGGCGACTGTATTGGACAGTGTAGATCTCAAAGAAAGCCTTGCTCTACTAAGTCACTCTACAGCATAATTAATATATCTAAAATATTTAACAACTTAGAAGTCTAAACTTTTTTCGAGAATCTTCTAAGTTCCGGAATCCAAGGAAATGTAAATTGGCATGTAAATTTACAATTAAGCTAAACTATTGATTATAACAAATATTTTAAAGAGATCTATGTGGACACAAGCATTTTGCGATTCTGAATATCATAATTCCGGCGGTGGATTAGACTGCTTTCCTTTCCCTATAGTCTGTAATTCAGTCTTTTCTCTAGTTCAAATTGCCCTTTTGCAAATTAATAGAGCAATTAAATCATTCTATAGCATCTCCATTTAATAATATGAACAATGCTGCTCAAAATATCAGCCTGGGAAGAGAAAGGTAATCTGGATAATATAGACCAACCTTGACAGAAGGGCCTTGATTCTAGAGGGGAAAACAGAGGTCTTTTTTGTTTGGTTGGTTTTGTTTTTTTTTGTTTTTTGTTTTTTGTTTTTTGTTTTTTTAGTATTTATCAGTGTTTTATACAAAATATTGTTCAATAAATGCTTTTCAGTTGACTATGTATAGGGATGGATGATGGGATAAATGAATGAACGGAATAGCTTGCTGACATCACCTTTGTTCAGAGACTGATTTAATAAAGACCAGCTGTCAGGAATCAGAAACTGCTCTGTGTTAGATGCCACACACCTCAATTCTGTGTATTCAGAGGAACGATACACTTATACGTGATAATCGTTGATATCCTGTCTTTTTAGGTGGCAAGACAATAACACTGCTGTCCTAAGTCATCGCCTCTAGACTAACCACTGAGAGGATTGTAACTTTTTTTCTTCCGTTATCCACAGTCCCTCAACTAGTCAATCGTTTTGCTTGCAAGACTCGTTATAGGGTTAAGTTCTTTATCTGAAAATATAAACAGGGAACTCATCTTCGAAAAGGAATCCTGTTACGTCATCTGCAAATACTTATAATTTCTTAGAACGTGTAACTTTATGCTCAGACCCATTACGTTTTCCCATTTTTATAACCATTAAATATTATTGGAGTTTTGTTTCTTGCAATGCATTTCTTGGAATAGTCTTGTTTCGTACATCGAGCCTCAGTTTACTCATATTCCATTTATCCTTAATGTGCACGTGATTTTTTTTATTAATCAGATATTTAGAACTCAGTAACAAAAAACCAAGGACTGTTACAGTCGGTGTGATGTACTCCAAATCTCTTTAGTTATTTTATTTGAGACTTAGATAGAATCTACAACTTCATAGAATGCCCTTGGTAAAACTAAACTAACAAAGTCAATCTGCACAGTCACTTAATAATACCAGATTATTTTCTTGGATCCGAATTTTATAAATGTTGGATCGATTGAAGCCTGAAGTTAATTTGGCAGAAGTTGTGTCTGTATCAGTATGTCATATCAGCTGCTCTTTTGAAATAATCTAATGACACAGACAAAACACTAAAATTTGCATATTTGCTATTTAGTCGGTAAATATTTGAAGGCTCATTAACTAAATTTTTATGTGATTCGAAATTTCTGGTGGAGTATCTGATTTTGGTTATAATCTTTCAATATGCTTATTTTATGGAAAAACTAATTAATTTTAAATGATCTTATTTATTTTATGTAAATTATTTTCAGCTGAATGTTGCCCTAAATAAATTGCTAGAATAGGCTGACAATCTTTTTTTTTTTGAATCTCAATTGATTAGCTTGGAAATTTTCTTTTCAATATCACAGTGGTTGTTGTCTAAATGTTGCCTCAGGCATTTCAACCTGTTTTGATCTCCAACTGCATGTGAATCACAGCTTTGGCTAATTTAGTTCCGATTTATTAGCATGCAAGCTCTATATAGTGCTTCCAGGCTATGCTGTTGCATTTAAGACATGAGATTTTTATATCTATTTTTACTTTCTCTTTAAATTGTGGATATTATGAGTCTCTGGTAGCTAACCTAAAGGCTTCAAAATATAAAATTTTAATCGACAGGGGCAGTAGTGATGAGCAGCTGAATGAGATATAATTAGAGAATGATTGACAGATCAGGTGAAAATATACATTAGTGAAAGACAAAGACGAAAAAATGAACAAGATTTTATTCCAAATTGGTAGCATTCTGAAATGTCCTTATTTTATCTGTGCCTGTCATGAACCTAATGACCCGCCCAAACCAACACATGGGGTCGCATCGGACCGACAACACCAGAGCTGCGAGGTTCCAGCACTGTTGGGGACGTTGCCGGCAGCAATGGCTCC